GTTTTTAGGCTCGTTTAAAAAACAAATCCTACAAGCTCGACTCAAAGTCGACAAGCTCGACTCGTTATGTGCAAATACTTGTACTCGGCTCAGCTAGGGCTTGACTTGTTTTTGGCTCGTTTAGGCTCAACTCGTTTCTTAAATGAGTCAAACTTGAACAATTTTTTAAACTCGATTAAGACACAAACTTTTCAAGTTCGGCTCGGACTCGTTCGATTAACAGTCCTACTTATGACTAGACCCGATAATTAAGTTGAATTTTACGAGTTTGAGCCGAGTTTGTCAAACTCATTTTTTAAAACGAGATTAAAAAATTATTCAAATTCGGCTTATCTAAAAATTAAGCCAAGCTCAAATAACTTAATTATTTCATATAAAAATGAACTGAACTTTGAGAGCTCGAGCCGCAGGAGCCTAAAGAATTGTTCAAACTTTGCTCGTTGAAAAAACAAATCAAATCCAAAACGAGTCAAACTCGAGTAGCTCACTCAATTATCAGCCCCACGTATAATATTCTCCAATAAAATTATTTCGGCTCTGATATTATACTCACTTTAATATCATTTAATCGATAGATTAAGTCAAATTTATAAGACTATTAAAAAAAATAAACTTACATCATCAAATAATAATGCAATGTTATCATCACATAGTGATGCCCTCATGTCCACTCAAACTCATCGTGCAAAGTACTCAACACCCAGACAGACTTTGCATTGGCAAAATGATAATTTGATTAGACAAATTGGGTAACAAACTTTTCTTGGGACAAAGATCTAAGTCCAAAAAAGTGAAGAAATTTCTCTGTCTGCCATAACAACCTTATAAAAAGAGCTAATCATTTAGCTTAAGAATGCTAAGCAGACATACACGTGAAGCCATGTTAATTAAGGCACTTTTCATCTAGCAAATCACATTTATCTTTCATGTATAGCCAGATGAAAATGTCACTATGGAGGTTTGGACCACAAGTTTAAAGCAGTGTGCTCCCCCCTATTTCCTGTAATCATGCTATATTAGGGGTTGGGGTCGGGTTGGGTGTTGACAATCATGAAAAAAAAAAGTATAATTGAATCATTACACGTACGGACGACAAAATTTACGTACATTAGTCAAATTTGACATACTTTTTCGTTCGTTGCACACCAACGAACGAATGTATTTTTACGTACATTTTCACACATAGTTACAAACAATAGTATATTGCTGACCAAAAGTCTTCAAACGGTATAACCTAACCAATTTATATATATATATATATAAACACGCACCTATTTTCTATACGACAAAAAACGTAATATTGTTTTCTTAAAGTTCAATTGATTCAAGATGTACTTAATATTAAGTCAAGTCATTTGATGTTGATCCTCAAGAACTCCCTCTATAGAGATTTTAACACAAATGTCCGAGCAATAAGTAGCACTCAAATTACATATCGAAGAACCGATAAAAAATTTAAGAATTGTTAGCATCCAACGTAATTGAGATGTTAGGATTTGAGGTTTTAAATTTGAATCTTGCAAGGAAAATTTTTTCCTTCACTGCGGCAAACAACTGGCCCTCTAGGATCTAAGCTTGTAAAGTGACAGCCACTTACAGTAACTGAAGAAGTATTTTCAAGCAAGCACATGGGAAGGTAGGGCTAGAAATGGCACAGTGGTGAAGATATGGGCATTGCTGGATTAAGAAAGAAACAGAGAGGGTAGTTATGTAACTCAAACCTGACTTAGAATTTAGCAAGATGTATCAAGATGGAGAGGCAAAATCAATGTCAAATCAAGAGGGAGAGGCAAAATCAATGTCAAATACCTCCAGAATAGACAAAATTCAGGAAAATTCAGTGGACTTACCAATATAGTACTTGCCTCGAGAAAAGAATCTTTAGATTGTGAAGCATAAGCATGGCATGGGGGAAGAGAAAGAGAGAGGTGGGTTAGTTTTTTTTTGGGGGGTTTGGAAACTCACATTCTCATGTGTATTTTAAATTATTTTTGTCGATTCAATGATTGAACAAGGATGAGGCAGAAACTCGTACGTCTCGAGTTCGAGTCTCGATGGTCTATAAAATCCAAGTTTTGTAGATGTTCATGGCTCAATAAGTGATAGTATGCATCTGAAATTAGCAATGCAAATACTACTCCAACCGAAAAGAAAACAATTAAAGAAATAGAGAGAAAACGTACATATGCAACAATGACAAAGTCATGAGGTATGCAGCACTAAATAAAAGCAAAACCCACTTGCTTTAACTACCTAATCAGCACTTTTCATCCCCCCATTATCCTATTCTATGTATTTTCAGACTCCTCAAGCTAAAGGAACAGTGAGGTAGAAAAGCTAAGGTTGCTTGGAAACAGTCTCACATGCAAGTCACAACATGTTTGAGCTCCTTGAGATTTCAAATTAGTTGGATGTTCTCTTTTCTAATGTGAATAACAAGGCAATGTTTTTATGGTCCCCTACCATTTGGAGATCACATGGGTACTTGAGAAGCCAATGGCCACAAAGGTGACAACTTGGTGTACTTTGCTTGATGCCCATTTCAAAAGAAACCTACCCAAATTTGTATTTTGACCACCATGTTAATTGAGAGCGTTTGGAAAAGATAAACTCGAATACATATTTAGCTTTTAATCATGTTTACATAAAATAGGTCATCGTACTCGAAACCCACACCTCACGGTTGTTAGCATGACATTTTAATACTGCATTAGGCAATCCCCATGGTACAAAATTATCATGCAATTGGTAAAAGCTCAAATTAAGAAAGGGCATCCACGAGACAAAAACTCAACTATGCATAGTTATGAAAAAAGTTAAGTATACATTGAACAAGTTTTAACACAACACGTACGACTTGAAGAACTAGCACAACCCGCTTTATTGACGGTCTTAACTACCATTCAATAACATTGGACCACATGTGCATGAAGTAATTGCAAAAAAAATAGAATCTAAGCCAAGTGATTGCATTTTATTGTAGTGTCTCTGTCATGCATTTATCTTCTAGGGCTATAGAATCATCTCATCAGGGCAAATTGTTGGAAAATGACAAGTCATTGAACATGGTATTGATGGGGGTAAAACCTTGTCACAATCCAACTGGCCCAATTGTTGTGGTTTTGGGAAGGACTAGCAAAGTTGTGTCATGTTGCATGAACAATGTGATGTTGTCCCTTGTAATCCTAACAGAGCACATGGATGTGGAAAGAAGCATGGTCCCCCCCCCCCCCCCCCCCCCCCCCGGTCTATTGTGCCCTAAAAATGTAAAATTGATTAGGAAGGATAATTCTTAATGCAATCCATCAATCAGACACAACAATTAGATGAAATTAGTCATGGGTCGCTACGAATCATGCTAAACACGACACGAAATTAATAAGACACGAACTTGGGTATATACGACTATACGTGCATCAGATATGGGTTAAATAAAATTTAATACAAACATCACTGAAAAAATACAACACAATCCAACCATCGACAATCTTAGAATATGTCCCTTAAGAAATTCTAAGTTACTAGAGAAATGGCCCATGGGCTTTTCCAATTTGATATTGGGATCAGAAAGGCCTTAGTGTCTGATTCTGATAACTACTAATGCAAACACTTTATTCTGATTTTTTAATTGAATAATATTATTTATATCTAATTTACTGATCTAGTGCACTATAACCATTAGATTGACTGTAAACCCCATCAAACATTAGAATTTGATGTTAATCTAATGGTTATAATAAAATAATATTATTATGTTAGCAAATTAAATCAGAGTCTAAACTCACAACATCAAGGTTATTGAGCTAAATTAACTAAAATCAAATATGAGCGAAACAACATAGTTTTCGCCTTCTCTTTGTCTCAAAGCCTATCACAAATTTAGGTGGTGTTTGGTTGTGTCTCAAAATCAGTTTTTTGTTCTCAAAACTCAAAATCTTGTGAGATGTTGTTTGGTTAGCATTTTCCAAAAAACAAATTTTCAAAAAAAGTGAAAATTGAGAACAAAAAATAGAAAACATCTAAACAATGTTTTCTGAGTTTTCAAGCCAAAATAAAAAACAAAGGAAACAACTCCTAAACACTTTAATAAGGTCTCCCCTTCAAATCCCTTTAGCAGCAAAACTAGTCATAGCATAAAAGTTTTATTTTTTCCTTCCTCTCTCTCTCCACTTTGCCTTTCATATTGAACGAACACACACAACTAGTGTCTTCTTTGGCAATTGGAGGTCTAGGTTAAAGATTTGTCTTTGTCTTCTCCGACAAAGGGTCTTATCGACGATTGGAGGTCTAGGTTCAAGATCTGTCTTTGTCTTATCTGACGAAGGGTTCAAGATCTATCTTTTCTGGCGATCTGTCTTCTCCTTCTTCAGTGTTATTTGTGTTTTTCGGTGTGTGGGTTTGCGTTCTCTAATGTGTGATGGGTGAGTGTATTCTCCGGTGTTCTATATATATATTGAGTGTGTATATATAAATTGATATTGAAATTGATGTTATTATAATTTGAAGTATTTTCCAAACATATATTTAAGCTGTCCAAACAAATTTTATTATTTTATTTTATAAATTATTTTTAGAATCATTTAACCAAACAAATTTTTCGTCTCAAAAAACATCAAAACAACTTTTTTAAAACTTTTCTCAAAAACTATTTTCAAATACTTTTTTTTTTAGATACAAATTAAACAAATACTTTTTTTTTAGATACAAATTAAACAGACCCTTGGTCTTTTTAGCATGTCTAACTCCTCTGTAGTATAGTAGGGCTGATGTTCCTCAAAACGGCGCCAAATCACACATAAAACAGCATCATTTTGTGTGAAACATCGCCTTTTTTAGGAATAGTACCCCTATTATACAACAGAGGATCTCCACCCCTTTTCAGCAATGAGGACACAGACCATATTTGAAATATATACCCCTTGATAACTATAGTTTTGTGCTTTGGGGGTGAAGCCTGCAAATCATCTAGGCAACATAAATTCAGCAAATGCATCCAATAACCAATCCAAAAAACCTTACCAATGAATCAGTGATATGACATACCAGTAATTACGATAATTTCCCACAGGATTTCATTTGGCATCATAAACAAAACCCTGCAATGAAACGCAAATTCGAAATCTGTGTCTTGACAATCATTCTAAACCACATGCATTACATTAAGACTACAACATGTCTGAACCAAGATTTAGAATCAATCAGACAGCAGAAATGAGAGATCACAATCCCCCTGGAAAATCTGCCTGCAGTTATGTACAGAATTTTCACCGTCATTTCATAGCAGAGCCCGCTTTTGTGTTTGATGAACCAGCTGCTCCCTGATCAACTGATCCAATACATAGTTGTGAAGAATATGAGCCATTTTTCCTCAACTTCCCGGGAAATTCCTTGCCTGAATAACCTTTCAAGGAAAGATTCTTTTTCATGCGATTTCGATTAAGTAAAACCATAGAATTGCGAGGTGGTGCATGCAAAGCCCCCTCAACACAATCACCTGCCTGAGAGCAGCCCCATGGTCTAGATGGCCCATCCTCATATAAAGGTTTGCGCCTAGGAATACCATTCCTCAACTTAGAACATACACGCGGTTCTGGGGAACTTTCCTCTTTGGATCTCACACAGACTGGGCAAGGAGGGTCATTTTTGCTTGTCTTTGGTGTTGTTTGCTCCAAGCATTCAGCATGGAAAACATGACGGCATGAAAGAACTCCAGCAATGGGCATATCTCCACTTCTCACAATTCGACTGGAACTCCAAGGTGATCTCTGGGAAAGAAACCTCCGCATAATGCACATTTAAAATCATCAGATGGATTATGTGAGCGACCAAAACCATCAAATTCAAATGGCTCAGAAACATCTTTGAAATCGACACTGCTACTAGCACTGCTCAAACGATGTTTCTCTATATGCGGAGTTGTGGCATCAAACTCTAAAAGCTCAGTGGCTGTGGCATCAGCAGTTGTTGCTATTGGAGGTGTTTCAGATGGAAAGGACACAGGATGAACAAGTTTCGACATGAAGTAACGCCGACTTGAGGAGTGGCGATGAGAAGAATTAGACTTGATCACTGGCCCATAGTCACTACTGTCTGATCGAGATGAAGTAGAGCCTCCGCCATCTTGAGCTGCTGATGTTCCCTGCAGAAAGCATATTGCAGTAAGAGAGTTGGATTCTAGGAAGCTACTTCCCAACAAATTTTCAAGTGAAAACAAGAACACAGTACCTCCATTGTTGGTGAAAAGGATAATCTCCCCAAAACTGCACTTAGCAAACATGTAATAAAAAACATCAGGAGAAGTGAATAATAATGCCATTTAAAGCAATCTTACAGAATTTGACTTTACAACAGTTCCTCTGCAATAGAAAAGAAGTAAAAAATGTTGCACTTTTATAATTCTCTGTTGAATCAAAAGCTGGACAGTAACAAAAAATCACACAAATAATAAACATTCTGCAATGATAGTACAGCAAGTATAATCCCCAGACACCACAGACGTCAAATAGTAAAATCTCAATAAAAATGTGATTTCAATGGTAAGATTGCTCCATTATGATTTGGGTATCACGAGTTCGAGTCATGAAAACAACTTTTCCTTTGCAAGTTTGGGTTCACTGAAATATCAGATCCAAAACCAATGACACCGAAAGTTGAGAGACACCATATGATCCCAAGAGACATCTATGAACCACCCTCACTTGCAGAGTGTGAATGCTATATTCCACAAAGTACTCATGTAGGAATGTGCAGAGAAGTCAGATATGGTTTAACGTTGCGATATCGGCCATCAACTCAGGGCGCTTTGAGACACATCGGTCGCGGCACAGTATTGGGCGATTCAACCTAAAAGAAAATGTTGAACATAACAAAAAATTCAGGTCATATTGCGGCGTCGTGGAACCGCGGCCAATTCGTTGACGATATTTTGACGACTCGGGATTGACTTGGATACAACTCGGACGACTCAGACGAGACTCAGGGTTTATACGTATCATATAACAGTATCGTCTCCAAAGGTACCGAGACAGATACGACTCGGCCCACTCGTATCGGTATTGGCAAAGTACCGATAATTTGAACCAAACCATGATGTCAGATCCACAAGGGTGTCACCTAACAAGAGAAGCACAAACTATTTTAGCCCCTGTGAAACATAAAGCAATATGAAGACATAGTTGCTTCACGATCTGCTCCGCCAGAGCACAGTCAATTTAGTTTCTACTTTTCCACAACATTGACACATTCCAAGATCAGTATTAAGCAAACCATTCCCTCCAGAGACCCCATATACAAGCACAAAAGTATATGAAGCATACATTGGCACAAAAGTTTCTGGAAGCTGATGCATATTTTTTAATGAGAGAGAGATGAAACATGTTATGGGACTTGGAGAGCAAGGTAACGACCTTGTTTGTTTTTTTTTTTTTTTTTTTTGGGGTTGGGGGGCTGAGGTGGCAGGGGCACAAATGCACACCCAACAAAATAAAAGAAGAATGCATGCATATGTAGTCCCCTACAGAGATACCACAATTCATCACAACAATGAACAATCTTAAACCCACTAATGCACACCCAACAACATTTAGAAAAAAGACAAACAGGTGTTATAGCTCCTCAACAGATTAAAGAAGAAGAATGTGTCAATCTCTGATCTCATGATATCTGTTTCATTCAAACTGTTTAAGTAAAATGCTATGGCATATGAAGGCAGGCTTGTGGGTTCTGGGAAGCTGAAGAAAATTAAACAACCCAGACCCATGACATAAGCCTGTACTATGAAACCATAGGAGAATCAATTTTCGGCCACAATGGTTTGGCATCCAACAGAGAACCTGCAGGTATTCCAGAGCAACAAGATTGAAGCACCACCGCATTCCATTGAGACCTCTCACAACTTAAGCAAAACTTGTAATTCATCAGGCAATCAGCTGTAATCGAAAGATAAGCTTTTCCTCATCAAATTAGATGAAAAAAATACATATATAAACAATATATATACAAATGTATTCAAAAAGTTGAACTTTGCCCACCCCTCCAACACTCTTGATCAGTACCAGCAATGAGTAATACGATAAACATGCACAGGCAAGTAAATCCATACAAAAGGTCATATTAATAATTACACTCAGTACATTAAGAACTACCACATTCATGAAATCATACAAAGAAAGGAAAGAAGAGATAAATAAATCCAAAGTATTTTTGGTACAGTAAAGCAACAAAAATGTAATAAGGAGTCAACACCAAAACACAAATATACAGGCTCAAACAACTGCCTATGTTCTTCATGACCATTACTGAGTAGCAGACAACCTTCCATAAGTTCACACCAATACACGATCCTACACAGCACTAACCAAAAGCAATATTGGTATTCAGTTGATAGCATCAATAAGGAAATGCCAAGAGAGAGATAAACTGCTTTGAAGTACCTCTCCTTGAAGTTCCATAATCATCAACACTGATGTCATGTATGGTGGGCTGAGTCCACTGCGGGGCTGGAGAAATGTCAGAAGGACTACTGAAGTATGGCCCAACAGCATCAGATGTCACATATTGGTGACCGGAAGAATGGTTTCCTCTCATCCAGCTCCTACTTTCTCTACTATTTGACGATGTCGAAGAACCATACAATTGAATGCCTTCATGAGAACCAAATGATAGCCCTTCATTTTGGAACCGGAAATCCCACCTTGGGGGAGGTGAGAAGCTTGAATTAGTTTGCCAGTAAGGCTCGTGTGTCCCCATTGACAACTCCCTGCTGGCTGCATTGGATTCATGTGGCCTGGCAGCCACACAACAAAGCGACCCCGTTTTAGCTATCTTTTATGTAGCTCACAAAAATCTTTTGGACTTGATTCCACAAAATATTTAGAGCTTGCTGAAGCTGAAAACCTACAACATTCTGCATATAGATTGCATCTGCTTATGCCACATGGGACTAGTTAAGGCGACTACTACAATCTAAGCAAGGACAATGCAATCAAAACCTAAGCTTCTTATTTTTGAAGACTACAGAAGCTCCAATCATGAAGAAACAATTCTTTTTCTTTCACCAACAAGGACAAACGATGTACTGCATACATCTCCTTATACAAGCGCAGAGACAATTATTTATGAAGCTCACTTTGAAAAATATTGACTGTCCCCCTATGCTTCTTATGTTCGAAGTCTCAGAACTCTAATGAGATTGCACAGCAGAAACCCTGTAAACAAAAGCATATAATACCATCAGAGATAAGACTCAATAATTCTAAGAACATAAAGCCGCAGACAAACTCCAAGGAAAAAAAAAAGGACGAATGGGGTTGGAGAACAAAATGATAATTAAAGTTTAAAATAACTAACGTTATTTAATTTAAGGGAAATAACTGACAAAACAACAGAGCGCATGAATTACAGACAAAATGCGACAAAACGATCATTTTCAGAACTTCAAGTAAAAGGGTATTTATCTTCATTCTATTAAATGAACTTTTCATTGAAGTACAGCCAAAGTCAAACTAGAATGCATCATCATTATAATTAACTTTTTCATTTCGAATTCTAGTCAAGGGGGCCGTAAAACTAAGTCAATTCTATTAAATTTTCCATATCTATCAGCAATGCTATATGAAATAAATATTTGACACTCTCAACATGCATCTATAAAAATTACCAATAATAGAATATCAAAAAATTTGCCAAAACCACACCAACTGCAGCTATACGAGTCAATCCAGATAAACAATAGCATTAAAAGAACAACATCGATAAAACTAACTACAACGACAACAAGTTATAGACCAAGTCTATTGAACATCACAAGAATATTCAATCAGGTAAAAAAAACTAGAACACATTTGCCATCACAGCTTCACAAGCAGAAACATAGTACAAGCAAAGACCCTAATAGTATCCATTAATTACTTCAAAAGCCAAAACCTATGTTACATGATTATAACGTGAGTTCGCAAGTGTGTGTGTGTGTGTGTGTGTGTGTGTGTGTCCGAGTGTGTACATAGGGAGAGAGATAGTGAGACTGCGCTTACGCTTTGTATGAATTTGCGATTGTAGGAATTATGGATATGAGAGAGAGAGGGCGGTCAAGAGGAATTGGAGGCAATGCATGCGTGAGTGAGAAACCCTAATACTTCGGAGAGGGGCGCAATTAAAAGAGGGAATTATTTTTTTTTGCTTTGATGCCCCTTTTGTCTCTTGTATTTATAGTTATTGCCTTTATGTACTTTCTGAATTTCAATTACACCATTCTTAATGGGGAAAATATTTAATTTATCGGTGAAATCACATTATCATTGATACATGGTATCATCCAATCGAGTCAAGTTTTGCGAGCTTGAGTCGAACTTTTTTTTTTAAACGAATTTAAAAAATTATTCAAGTTCGACTCGTTTAGCAAAAGACTCGAACCAAACTGTCAATCCCGAGTAATTTGACTATTTTACATATAAATTAGTCAAACTTTATTAGCTCGGGTCCAGCATTTTTTATGCTTATTTTTTAAACAAGTCTAAAAAATTGTTCAAGCACGCTTTGTTTAAAATACGAGCCGATATTGAGTCAAGTCTTATCTAAGTTGAGCACAAACCACTCGACTCAATTATCCACCAAAATGTTTATAAAAGATTATGTCCGTATATACCAAAAAGTCTTTTCCATGACCAATGAACATATGAAAACGTGATTTTAGATAGATCTATCCCATGTTATCATGTATGAGTTCTTATACTAAAGCCATTAAGGATATACCTTGGCCTTCAAATCATCTGCAGAATCAAAATCATGAAGTTGGTAAAGTTCATGCTACTCGGAATATATTCAATCCTAGAGAGTTTGTAGAAATTGTCCTACGATTAAATTAGATGACAAACTCGGGGAGTTATGATTCACTCAATAATAAAATCACCCATGAACTACCTTATATGAAATATTCACTCATAAATTGTGGGTCCTACTTGATTAATAATAAGTGATCTACAATTAAATATAATTGATGGAAATACTGTGTTGTCAGAGAATTTAATGCAATGATTAATAATTGTCATTCCTACGATTATGAGGGCAACATACCTGATCGAATAACCAAGAGAATGAGCTTTGTTTGGACAAAATTTGAGAGAATTTTCACTAATCCGGCTTGGAGTGATGTTTTATCTTATACCATGATTAAAGACTTACCACGCTCAACATCTAATCATTCTCCTATGGTTTTCCAAATTGAAGAAGTTGGATTCTTTCATCCATTTTCATTCAAATGTTAGAATATGTTGATAAAATACACCGACTTCTTACAAATTTCAGAGTATTCGTGAAATTTACCAGCTTGGAAGAGTTAAAAACACTTCATATAAAAACAACCAAACAGGAAATAGAGGAAATAGGAAATGAGCCTGGCAACTTCCGTCCAGCAAAGTATAAGTTTGTGATTTTTGTTGGGCCAAAAGCCTTACGGTCATAGTCCTTCTTTACCTGCACATGTTCATCCTCGGGATGGAAAATAATCGATGCGAAACTCTCAATAAAACTCATTCAGGGTCCTAAGGGAGACCCAACCCCATACATGGATATGCAATTTAAATGTAAAATTGTCACAGTACCACCTGTACTCAGTTCAAAATGATGCACTTTTGTGTAGCTCATGTGGTGGATTCAATATGATAATAACCAATAAGTACCAAAATTAGCAACAAATGGCTTATTCATATAAGCACCCTAAGTGGCTCAAATGACCTGGTTATTACTATGTAGTTCATCAGTCGGATGTGAGATGTGTTTCACGTTTCACTCGCAATTAGTTGCTAGAATTCTGATTCCCAGTGTGAGAATTGTTGTTGTTGCTAACTTCTAATGGGAAGCTCTCATCCTCAGAAGCAGTAGCATCATTATTGTCACCATCTGATATGAGAAAAGAAAATGAACCTGAGCTTAGACAAAGGAGATGACAGAACAACTTGCTTTGTGGGGAAAGAAAAATCAGGTGCACAAACCTTCACCTTCACCTGCAGGAGCATAAGCCGAGCGTCGAACTTGCTGGTGGGGTGTGGGCTGATATAACAATAGGTAAAACAGAAATGAGAAGTATTGATAAAGTTAAACATGAAATATGACTTATCCTTTGTCTTCTATGAATTTTTACGAGCAATTTTTGATTTGCAAGAGGTTATATTTCCTTCGTCGTGAACTTTCAACAAAAGCACAGTCCTATTTGCAGCATGGAGGACAAGTTAAAGTTAGCAATAAGCAAACATCAAACCTGCAATTTTGGGCGGAGTGCCTCTAGTGGTCCTTTGCTCTTCTGTGCTCCCTGCTGTTAGATGATCAAAGAGGAGGCCCTTCATGTTAGGTATTCAAATCTGGAATTGGCTGCTTAAGACTAAATTCAGAAGCATAAAATATAACACCAACGCTTAAGTTTAGAGTTCCAACTAAAATTAACTAAATACCTTTCCCAAAGCCCAATCAGCAGAATCAAAAAAAGCACGCTCATGGTCCTGATAGTAAATGAAAAAGAAAAAATTGCAGCTGTTAGAAACTAAACCTCAATAGCAACCATAAGTACAACCAAAGGCAGAAGTGAAGAGTGCATATCTACTTTGGATATTAAAGGAGGTTTCTTTGGTATTAATCCTCCATACTTCTTCTTGATTACTTCCTCCTGCAGAAAACAGAAAAAGGGGAAAATAAAAAAAAAGTATGAACAACTGTCACTGAAGTTCGATCCCAGCTTTAAAACTTGCATTTTGGGCTGCTTGAACAAAAACACTTGGGCAGATGACTTATTTTAGTCAGCAAAGTCAAGAATTTTGAAGAAGGTGCAAGTAATTTCAGAATTCTTCCCTCTAGGAAGGCTTTTCAATCTTACCCTATCAAGGGCCAGACTTGAACAGAATGCCAGAAATATCATTCAAGCTCAAAAATTTAATAGAAACTTTTATAGCCTCTGAGCAGGTTCTTTAAGTTATATAAACTCAGAGCTATCAGATATGGTGTAAGTTACAGCCTGCTGGAGGGATATCATAATTAGGGGTCAGGCAAATTGACAAGTGCACCACAAAGATTGATTAAGCTCAAACTTGACTTGCAATACATTAGTGGACTCAACAATTTCTTAACTAATATAACATAAAGAGAGCTATCAAATACGGTGCAACTTACCTCCTCTTGGGGAGAGGGCATGGGACTTTCCACATTTTCGTCCAAAAGTTTTAGGTCTTCCACAGAAGGGTCAACATGCTCTTGATCTTTCGGAGTACTGTCAACAAGATCTAACTCCTTGGCATCCTCACTGTTTTTGTCCGACATATTCCGCTCTCACTATGAACTGCAACAATGGCATAAGTGCTTATCATTCATAAGAAAGTAACAAATACATTAGCCAACTTCCGACAGAAATAAATAAATAAATAAGCGTCCAAATATGAAAAACAATGGCATAAATGCTTATCATTCATCAGAAAGAAACAAATACATAGCCAACTTCCGACAGTAAAAAAAAATAAGCGTCCAAATATGAAAAAACAGCCCTTCAAGTAAACCATGTGAATCTTACAGTTATACACAATATTTGTGCTTTTGTGAGTGGTCGTAGGGCAGACCTCAATAATCTGATCCTTGAGGATGTACCCCCTAAGAGAAGAGAGGGAAGGAGGGAGCAGGGGTTGTGATAGAGAAAATGACCTTTATTGTATTTTCACTAGAATGTATATGTCAAGAAGGCTTAATAGAAATTAATTTCATCACTTACAAAGGCTAAATTTGTATTTGCTGAAAAATGCAAGAAGTACATTCAAATTTGCTAAAATGAAAAAGTTAACACAAATAGCTCTCACTCAAGCAATGAATCTTATAGGTAAATGAGCAAACTCCCAACGCATCAACCATTAAACCAGTACAAAGATCACATAAACCTATTGCAGGTGTAGGAGCATGCTACAGTGCAAGAAATAGACGGGACGCTTAATCAATAAAATGGATGGTTACTTAAATATGATACCAGAAAATTTCAAGGGAATGGTAAAAATAGTTCACACATGTACAACTAAATATAAAGGCATATCAACATATATGTTGCTGGGAAATGGTGTTCCTGTAACACTTCTAATTCCGAAGATTTTATTCATATATCTTTCCTAAAAAAGAAGCAAATTTGAACAAAAAACGAAGCAAAAAATATTTTATTCACACAAAAAAGAAGCAAATTTGAACAAAAAACAATACCTATGCATACAACAACTATGACAATCCAAACTCTGCTTATGAATTCGCAAACCAAGGATTATATAATAACCAAAATCTAGTAAATTCGCAAACAAAAATTCAATATAATTACAATCTTGACAGTACAACCCTGAAGAGAGAAAACCCAATAATCTACTCGTAAATTCTCAAACTAAAAATCCAATATAATTAAAATCTTTCACCTTCAAGATGTGAATTATCACAACCTGAGAAAACCCAGATGTTAAAACTTAGCGAAAACTGATTCAGTGCTAATCGCTATCATTCAGAACATAGATTTGATGTACAAGTGATGAATATTAATCGTTCGACTATTGAACTATGACATGCCACCTTCAAGAATATATATATAAAAAAAAAGAATACCAAGAATACAATTTTTAAATCTTTGCATGTGTATAAAAATATACGTGAATAGTGATGGAGGATAGGAAGAAGAAGAAAGAGGTTGAGGTGGGTGTGTTACCTAAACTTGTAAACCACCGGAAATTTGCAGGAGAAGTTGGGAATAAGATTGCAGAGGCAGAGAAAATGGTGAACAGTCCTTGCCAAAACCAAAGATTGCGTTTCCAACCCACAACGGAATGTCCGGATTCGTAATGAAATTTATTAGGGCCGAATGGGACTGAAATGATTACACTACCTCTTCGATTCTCCTTTTCACACATCATTCATCAGTCACCAGTACCATATTCTTATATATTTTTTTATGATCGAGAGTTCAATGGGTGAACTTTGATAATTTATAGTATAAATTAAAATTTTTAGAGTTAATCGCGAATTGCAACTGGAAAGTTTTTTGGAATCTTAATTTATACCTTAAAAAATTAAAAATTTTAATTTACACGTTTGAAAATATAAATTTATATCAATGCGCACTGAACCTAACAATAATTTACCATCTAAAATTAGTTGAGTAAGTTACACTTAGACTCTCTCAAATTTGTTACTTAATTATTTACATCTCTCATATTTAGAATAGTACTTTTACCCTTCTTAATGTTTGTGCACTTATAGCACATAATCTATTGTCGTTAATATCTGTTAATATAACAATTAAAAAAATATTTTCATCAAATAAAAAATTATAATTTTCATACTAAATTTTATTTTGTGAGTTAGTTATATTCTAAAATTCAAAATCAAGCTTATCATTTTAATGTTCAATATAATGTAAGTATTTATATAGTCTTCTTTATATCTAATGCAATACATCATTTGAATACAATTACTTGAATACCCAATTAGAAGAATATTTTTAGTTATATTTAAATTTTTAAGGGATGTAAGTGTAATATTTTAAATGTGATGAGTCTAAATAATTAAGTAATAAATATGGGTGGGTTTAAATATAATTTATCTATTTAGTTTAGAACTGTTAGTTTCAGGTACACATTAATACAAATTTCTATTTTCGAGGGTATAAATTAAAATTCGAACAATCTTTTAAATATAATTTATAATTAACCCAAATTTTAAACATCTTTCAACATCCAAAGTGTTATTCACCCGACTTACTACTCCCTGCGTTCCTAAATATCTGTCGTTTTGTATAATTTTTTTTGTTCCATAATATCTGTCGTTTAATGAAACCAAAACATAATTAATATTTTTTCTTTCAAATTTACCCTTAACTTTTCAATGCATTAGATTAGGTGGAGGTTAAATGTCTTTCATATTTTTTTCTTTCTTAATACGTATTGAATAAAAGTATTTTAGTCTTATGTAATTATTTTTTACTTATATTAGAGCTATTTAATAGGTTTTTTAATTCTTGTGTAAAAACCTTAAACAACATATATTTAGGAACAGATGGAGTATTTATTTCTACATGGGAGTGGGCATTGCGGCAAGGTTGTTTTGAGCTTAAGATGGGCCGAAAATGGGCTTAGGGATTGGCGAAGGGTGGATTGGCCCATATGATGAACGGGCTTTGCAATGCTAGAGATGGGCCATCTGGCATTGCAAGGATGACGATATTTAAAGCTTCTTGAATGATTTGGTATACTTGAGTATCAACCTTAATACGAACTCCACTCCCCTGTTTTTTGCTCAACAACACAACCTTTTTCGATAAGGAGAGAGAGAACAACTCAACTTAGTAAAGTCTTATTTTGATTCATTGGGACCGGCTTCGTACATAAATTTTATTCCTTCATTTTGTTTTACATTCTAAGTATGAGTGGAGATCAGGCCAAAAGGAAGGGTGGGGTAATGTAATATGGAATAAGATCCCCCATAATATGTTTTCTTGTCATTTTTATTGTTAATGGATCATCTATCATAAATTTAAGTGAATTCATTGTCTATAAGTGAATCTCCCATTCACTAAGGTGGAAGCTAAAAGCACGGAAAGTACTATTGAATATGATGATACCAGAAAAATACATAGTTCAGAATAAAAGATAAGTCGGGATAGTATATGTCGAGCAGGTTAAGACATGACAGGTCAGGTCAGACCCAACTGATGATTAACCATTTCATCAACTATGGGACTCTAGAAGACAATAAACAATTTAGAAACTACTAGAAATGGATAAATGAGAACTTTCACCAATAAACTCTACCTTGGGCAAGAAGACACTATCTCTGGAAGGTCACATCATCACTTCTAAAAGACCATGTCACGCCTGTGGATAAACACTCAAATATTTCCTGAAAATTCTCTATTGAGAGCAATGATTACCTGTGTATAAAAATTTAGCCAATACACGGCCTCAAGGACAAGCACAAAAGTGCACCCTATTGCACTCATCTTTTTCCTCAAAAAATATATCTTCAAGGAGCAAGAACCTCTATTATAATGGACTATCCCAACTCTTTAGCTAAGCAAGTCGCTTAATTTCTCTGCATTCTTTACCTGCTTTAGCGCACGCGCGCACACACACAAAGCACACCTCATGTAGTACTCATTCAACTCATGACCCACCTCATGCTTCTCGATTTTTTACACTACCAAGATCTAATTTGGAGAACTACAACTATTAGATTGAAAGTGAGTTTTTACATCTAATGTTAACACTCACAACTAATCTAATAATTAAATTAAATTAAATTTCCAAAATAGGAGACTAATAGCATTGCCCAGAAAGTATCAGAGGAATTTGATCCATGCAATACTTTTCTCAAAAGGTGGCAGAAAACAAGGAGGCTGAGTTCAGAGGGCCAACCTGCTTTCCTCCCTAGTGAAGGAAGTTGGTACAAAGGCAGTTTCAGCCCCCATGTCACTACTCCATCACCAAATGCATGAGATTCCATTGCCCATGCTCTATTACATCACAAGGACTATTCATCTTCTTTCCATTTCCCCTACTCTAACCTATACCTATCTGTAGACAGTTGTGCTTGTGTGCTTTTGATTGAGCTGTTTGCAATTGACATGCACCCACTACCAAAAAATGGTACCCTTGCCCATAACGATGCTGTGTTATTCTGGATAGTGCTATGCCGAATTTATTTCATGTACATGTCGTATCTGTGTAATTTTTGTTTAATTTTCTCTCACAAGTATCCCCATAAAATAATCTCTAATCGATTCGCATTCTAGGAAAGCATAAACAAATGAAAAAAAAACATTTAGTTTACAGGGTTTTGCACAATATTAGATCAAGAAATGCAAAAAATGGAAAATCAAGCATTTTCTTCTTATAATATCAACTAAAGTTGTGTCAAAAGAGAGTTGGTCCCGGTTGACACTATCCCGACCAGTTTATTATTCGGATGAGTTAGTTGTCTTATTGTCGTATTTATATTATATTAAATTGTATCAGTGTCAAAAATTGCCACCCAATGTTTCCAAGATTACTGTTTTCTTAGCTATGGGCAGAAGCAGCTGCTATAATCACCTCATAGATTGGGATTATGTACTTTAAAGACAACAAGATTTACTGAATCCCATAAAATTATTGAAAGGTAATATTGGGAAACTAATAGCTAATTACTGACTGAGTAATTAATATTTGAATATCAACTGATCCTTATCTTTGTGTTTTGATTGGAAAATAACAATTAAAGCAGATAAAATTGATTGTTTTGAAATTAAAGCAAGATAATTATGAGATGTT